GAATTACCGAATGTAAATAAAGGAAAATCTGAAGGCATGTGGTCTTCAGGGGGTTGCTTGTGTCTGTCTGCCAGCCACGAGTCTGTGCTTTGCCAACACAAGTCTCACCTACAGGGCCACAATGCCCTTTGTGCAGTGCTGTGGAAAAAACGTAGCCACTTGCTGCCAGTGGCTAAACTCCATTGAGCGATGCCCTGCAGTGAGCAAGCATGCAACATACTGCTGGCCCCTGCTGCTGACCAAACGGCCAAGTACACTGATCACTCTGGGGCCTAATTACAGCGCTATCGATGACTCTCCTCTGTGAGGTCAGACTGGCAACAAGGCTTTCCTGGTCTCAAGAATTGTTTACAGAGATAAATTATTCAGTACTTACAGATTACAGGGGGTACGTATACAGGGTCTTACAATGCACAACTTTTTTCGTGACACACAGCTTTCGGTTGTTTGTTGTTCATCTCTCAGTACGTGCACAATTGTTTAAAGGGATAGTTTGTCCCAAAACAAAAATCTGTCATTATTTAGTCACCCTCATGTCATTCCAAACCTCTTTGACTTGCTTTCTTCTGTAAAAATTAAGAACATCCTGGCCATTTTTTCCTTATATAAGGAATGAGGACTACAAAATGACAACAAAAAGCAACATGAAAGTATAATACGAGTGCCCTGACTATTCAAAAGATTAAAAAATAATCTCTTATGCTCACCAAGGCTGCATTTATTTGATTAAAATTACAGTAAAAACAGTAATATTGTGAAATATTATTACAATTTTAAGTAATTGTCTTCTATTGTAATATATTTTCAAAAATTAAAAATGTATTCCTGTGATGCAAACCTACATTTTCAGCATCCGGTCCTCCAGTCTTTAGTGTCACATGATCCTGCAGAAATCATTCTAATCTGCTGATTTGGTGCTAAAGAAGGGTCTTATTATCATAAGAAGTTCTTATATTCATTGAAAAAGTTGTGCAGCTTTTTTGGAGGGGGGGGGCATATATGAACGTTTATAACATTATAAAAGTCTTTACTGTTGTTTTCGATCAATTTAATGCATCCTTGCTGAACAAAAGCATTTTAAAAAAGTACTGACCCCAAACCTTTAGCATTGTTACTACATCGTTTACTACATTTACTCATTTACTACATCGTTAGTGTAGAAAATATGACGTGAGTATGGACTACTATTATGATACTTTTGTTTTTGAAGCTTGAAAACCTTGTGATTGTTTTGAAAAAAAAAAGAATAATTTCTTCAGTAAAAATATCTTGTGTTTGTCACTTATTTGTGTTCCATTAAAGAAAGAAAGTTAAGGTTTTTTTAAACTACATTTTAAAAGGTTGAGGTTGAGTAAACAATTAACTTACATTTTTTGTAAAGTATTCCTTTAAAATGTTTAACTACTTTTTTTATGCCCAAGGAGGAAGATGAGAAGTGGGTGCAGGATTACTGCATGCAGGTTGGCAATGCTTACATCATCGTTTACTCCATCACCGACCGCAGCAGCTTTGAGAGCGCATCGGAGTTACGAATCCAGTTGCGTCGCATCCGGCAGGCTGAAAACATTCCCATCATCCTTGTGGGCAACAAAAGTGACTTAGTGCGATCTCGAGAGGTGGCAGTGGAAGGTGAGAAGAGTTTTGATTTGTATCATTCCCACAGACAGATCAAAGTGGGATGTTATACACTACCATTAAAAGTTTGGTTCGGTATAAGGAAAGATTTTAAAGAAAGAATCTGAAGAAATTTGATCATTTTTAGATCAAAAATGACATTTATAATGTTACAAAAGATTTCTATTTCAAATAAATGCTATTCTTTCTATTCATCGAAGAATCCTGAATAAAATGTGTCACTGTTTCCAAAAAAATGTTAAGCATCACAAGTGTTTTCACATTGATAATAATAAGAAATGTTTCTTGAGCACCAAATCAGCATATTAGAATGATTTTTTTTAAGGATCATGTGACACTGAAGTGAAGACTGGAGTAATTCAGCTTTGCCGTCACAGGAATGAATTACATTTTAATATACTGAAATAGAAAAGTTCATTTAAATTCTAATAATATTGCTCAATATTACTGTTTTAGTGTATTTTTAAAGGGGTCATATGACGTTGCTAAAAATAACATTATTTGGTGTATTTGGTGTAATGCTCTATGCCCCGCCTTTCTGAAACGCGTTTATTTTTACAAAGCTCATCGGTCTGAAAAGTGCGGTGTGCTCTGATTGGCCAGCTATCTAGTGCGTTGTGATTGGCCGAATTCTCAAGTGTGTGATGGAAATGTTACGCCCCTTACCAGGTTCAGGAAACTTTCCTCCGTAAAATGCGCTGCACACACTTGAATATTTGGGTTGTACTGTTCTGGAGCAGTGTTATAAATACAACTTAACCACTGGAAGGCAAAGTAAAAAACAAAGTAGTTTGGCTTTCGCAACGAAACACACAGCGTCTCCACGACATGGCAACTGCAGCAACAATACTACAGCGAGAATAAAAGTTATGCCTTCTTTCTTTGCGTATACATTTGGGCGGTGTTATGCAAATCTTCCCACACAGTGACGTAGACATGTGGGGGCGTGTTTAAACGAGGCGTTTTAGGAAGGTGTGGCTGAGCATTCACTTTTATAAAGAATATCTCTTTGGGTTTGAGACTTTAATCTTTGCGACTTTACGGATCTTCTGTATGCACGAACAGCTTTTAAAGGGGTCATATGATGCGATTTCACCGTGAACGAAGCGGAGTCCAGCCCGGGGTCGTCACATGTGGTTGCCGCACGCCTACCGGCCGCGCCTTTCTCAAGGCCGCCAGCCTCCGTTCACTGAAGCCCACCATGTGTGACGCTGTGTGACGCATTTTATGGAGGACTGTTTCCTGAACCTGCAGAGTAGCATACAATGGGTCTGTGCTCAAAGGCTGTTCTATAAAGTGGGGCAGTTCCAACTTTGCAAGGACAGTCTGGCACTTCTGTCTCGCAGCCTGTAAGTAAATTTTTTATATTTAAAGAATTTGCCACTGATGATTCAAACGCGAGTAGCGCTTGTTGTTTATCGTTTCTCCGATCACAAATGCAGGCATGGTTTTATGTTTATGCGGCGCGATATGCAACGCAACACGTAAAAACACAGTATAAGTCATTATAATCAGTAATTATGTCCCCACTGGATGCAACAAATGCCTCGTTTGTAATGGGTTTTATTGGTTTTGTTTCGCCGTGCTGGGAGACGGCATCACAGTGTTTTAAGGGGCGTAACATTTCCGTCACACGCTTGAGGTATTCAGCCAATCACAACGCACTGGATAGCTGGCCAATCAGAGCACACCTCTCTTTTCAGAACGATGGGCTTTGTCAAAATCGACACGTTTCAGAAAGGCGGGGCATAGAGGAGCAACAATAATGTACATTATGTGGAAAATAATGTTTTTTTTTTAACCTTAAACCACATAAACACATTGCATTACACCAAATACACAACATAATGTTCTTTTTAGCAACGTCATATGTCCCCTTTAACATTCCAAAGACAAAGGAAAACATGAAATCGCATCATATGACCCCTTTAATCAAATAAATGCAACCTTGCTGAGCATAAGAGACTTCTTTTAAAAACATTTAAAAATCTTACCCCAAACTTTGAATGGTCGGGTATATCACAGTCTAACTCATGAATGCACAATTGTTTGACATGGTGCAGATGCATAAGCCTTCAAAGCCTTGTGACGGGTTTGGTTTTACACAATCCTGGTCTTCTGTGGCAGAGGGTCGGGCTTGTGCGGTGGTATTTGACTGCAAGTTCATAGAAACCTCTGCCTCTCTCCACCACAACGTTCACGAGCTCTTTGAGGGCATTGTGAGGCAGATCCGACTGCGGCGAGACAGCAAAGAGATCAATGAGCGCCGACGCTCCATCTACAAGCGAAAAGAGAGCATCACCAAGACAGCCAGACGCTTCCTAGATCGACTTGTAGCCAAGAACAACAAGAAGATGGCCCTGAAAGTGCGCTCCAAGTCCTGTCATGACCTTGCAGTGCTGTGAAACCCACAGATCACTCTTAGTCCTTCAGCTCTGGGTTTCTTTGTTTTCTGTTCATAAGACAAAAGAGGATTTGTCTTTCTGATAAGACTTCTTTTAAAGTTGAACATTAATTCACATTTATTTATTTCAAAATCTAGCATTAACAACTTTTTTATTGACTCCCCTGAAGATCTTGAGGTTTTGCTCATTGTTCTTAATCTTACCCCATAGATCAAATTTTTGATAGATGTTTGAATTAAATCAAAGGTTTATTACTATATATCACCAATTAAGTGGACTTTTTGTATTGAACATTTTATCAATGTTTGCCTTATTTGACAAACTGAATAGGCAATAGCATTAATTAACAAGCAATATTTATTATTTATTGTTGTTTGTGTTTTCCTTCAAAATTATCATTTCACCTTATTGTTTTTTCTAACAAAGGAAGAATTTTGTATACACTGAAAGACATTAGCTATGAGAAAAGCACTGCCCAGTGGAAAAGTTAAAGTAGACACAGCTAAAACCAATCTTAGTTTTTTTTCTTACAAGTTTATTCTGTTAAAGCAAAAAACATAATGG